CTGAGCAAACTCAGGGAGGCAGTGAAGGACAGGAAGGCCTGGCGCAATATGGTTCATGGGGTCACGAAGAGTCGGACACGACTTAATGACTAAACAACAATAGTAACAGCCCCTCAGAGTGCTATTAAAGCACCACCAATAGAACCTTTTTTAGATACAAGTAAACCTTTGAATAACCTTGACCTCTGTCCTGAATATGCAGTGAAGTTTTTTACCTGACTGCATTGTTGGTCTTAGAACCACCTCTCCAGAGAAGCCCCAGGTTTGTAAGGTCATTCTTCCTTGACATTGCTTTTGCGAACTTGAATCTTTTCGATCATTTGTAAAAATTGAAAGAGGCCATTAACTAAACCGTTTCCCTGAAAATTAACAAGCCAATAAGTCCCACAAATTCCTTTGTGGTTGGAGGGTCTCCGTCTGATTGGCTGGGAGGATGATGTCACAAGCATTCCAGTTTACCAATCAGTGTCTTTGTGGCACTTTCAACACTGACTTATTTGTTGTGGCATTAACTTCTGTTGACCTATAACCCACAGCCTTCAGATCAAAATACTGAGACGTAAATATCAAAATACAAGGAACAGAGTAGGTCTGTTATATTTTCATAGAGAGCTATATAAAGCTTACTTGAAAGAGCAACCATGTAGCAACAGCAGCGTTTGGCAGTTACCAGCTTTGTGAGACTAATTTTAACATTTAACATGAGAGAAATATCCTGATCAGGATTTAGGATAAATCTGTTAAGGCTGTAAAGCCATGCTGAGTTGGGGAATTCTGGGAGTTGAAGTCCACAGATCTTAAAGTTCCCAAGATTGAGTAACACTGCTTTAAAGTATCAGAACATAGTTTCTTCTTGGCTTTTTGTTTGTTTCCCAGAACAGGCTAAAGACAATGCTGGAGATCTGACTGCTGAGGAAGCAAAGAATTGCACAGTTCAGAAACCCAGGCAGATTTGCACAACTGTAAATAAAATCAGGCCAAAATCCTAAACATCTAACTTAATTTCCTGAATCTTAACTCCATGAAATACAATAGTGTATAAGAGAAAATCCATTTAGGATGTGATTAATCTGATATGTCAATTATTGACACTTTTCTCTTTCATGAATCCATAACGTGGAATTTTCTTTGGTGCACCAGCGCGCGCGCACACACACACACATATTCAAGGATGCAGGCATGCGCACCGCCTATCAGCGCTTTATTTGTTTCATGAACTGGGTCTTCCGGGCGGCAGGGGTCGCTGTGGAAGAAGTCGGTCTTCTAGCTGCCCTTCCTCTCCCCGCCCGCCCCCGCTGTTCGATTACCAGGAAGTGTCTCCTGGAGACGCCGGGTCTGCCTCCAGTTAGAAACGGGCGGTGGCTGCTGTCGGTGGTTCTGGTGGCTGCTGGACCGGTTTGGGTGTGGTGGCATCATGGAGCACATCCGCACCACGAAGGTAATAACGTTCTCCCTCCGCGCCTGCCCGTTTAGCAGTCGGTTAACCGGAAGCAGGCCCTCAATTCGTGGCTTCGCTGGTCTACTCCGGTTGCTCAGGCTGCGCTCCTGCTTCTACTCCGTGGCAACGGGCAGCCCACCGGGCGCGGGCCTCTCTTGGGATGACCAGGATACACTCCCTCAGAGCGCTCCTTCCCAGCGTGGTGTCCTCCAGATGTTTAGAATTCACACTCCCCAGAATTCAGAGCTGGCCGCCTGGGATTCTTGGGAATTGTAGTCCCAACACATTTGGGGGTTCAGTATTGGGGGAGGTTGCTCTGGCTGGTGCTTGGCACCCTGTTGAGCGGTTTTTTGGGCTTTGTGTGTGTGTGTGTGCGCGCGCTAAACCGATTCTACTCTTGTTAAACTCTGTTTTGATTTTATATCTCACTTGTCCAGTAATTGCTTTTCTTTGGACAATGTATTGAATTATGGCACAACTTACTTACAAGTAGTAAGATAATTTTGGTTATAGATAACCAGCAGGTGGCAGCAAGTGAACTGACCTTGGTTGATCTGGGGGGGAAAATAATGAGTCAGAAAGTCTAAAAAAATACTCTGGAAGAAGGCAGTGGCAAACCACTTTCTGCTAAGTAGCTGGATGTGTCCCAAGGAGTCTTGACCTTTTAAGGGTGTGTGCCTTCTTCCTATCTGTGGAGGCTTAAAATAATAAGATGTGTTGCATTCCAGTTATTACCAAGTAAGGATAGATAGCTGCTTAGCCTGTGGACATCTTCTTGAAAGTGTTGTTACTCGGTATCTTCTGGCTCTTGATCCATTGAACATCATTTTGCCAGATTTGCCTGTCAATAACAGCTTTTAATTCCTGGAAGCGTATGTTTGCATTATTAGTGAAACCTAACTACTTGGCTTGTCAGCTGCCTTTTTCATTGCCTTAGATTTTTCCAGGCATCAAAATCTTAAGGGCTCTCCACAGTTAGTTGTGGTCAGGGCCACCAAACCCACACTTCATAAGGTGGAGTGCCAGTAGCAAATTAAAAAAAAAAAAAATTCAAAAGGCGCATAGCACAGTTATAAAGAAAGAGACTCTCCAAGAAAGAGGATATACAATATTTTGAACATTTAAAAAATTGTTTGGGGGGCAAGCACTAAGAGGAATTCTGCACAAGGCCGCCTAGTATGCCACAAGCAGACCTAATTGTGGTCAAACCAGTCAAAAGATTTTTAAAAACTCTATTACTGTTTCCATTATTTATTGGATGTTAGCAATGTGATCTTGGTTACCCCTGCCTCTTCCAAATTCAGCTTGTACATTTGTTCTCATTCTATGTATTGTTGAATTCTGGACTACAAAACCTTGACCATGATCATCCTAGTATGTGAGATAAATGCAATTATTCAGTAGTTTGAGCATTTTTTTTTAGCACTGTCTATTTTTGCTATCAAAATACAGATTTATTTTTTCCAATTCCTTGGCTGCTACTGTTTTTCCATATTTGTTTATAAACCTCAAGTAGCAGTTCAACTGTATCATCTTGCAATACATTTGCTGGTATTTTATCATTTTCTAGCTTTGCCTCCTTCTTTTAGTACACTGTCTAAAATTTTCCCATTATTCCAGATGGTATTTTACTTCCAAATTTAGCATGTTAAATGATACCTTTTTTTATGGTGTGTCAATAAGGTGTTGTAAGTTACTATAGCACTGTTTGGCTTCTGTTTCCTCTGCAGTCATGGTTTGAGCATGGACTTGGATCACTGTAATATTGATTTGCTTTCCTTGCGCTCTTAAAAGTAACTGGCAGTAGCCTTCCTCTCTTGCTTGATCTCTTTTTGCTTATTTAGCAATAATTATGCAATGTGCTGAACTTAGTATTTCTCTGGTCTTTATTTATTTATCTATCTATCTATCTATCTATCTATCTATCTATCTATCTATTTATCAAATTTGTATAGCCGCCCATCTCACAAGAATAATAAATACAATCATTTTAAAAATTAAAAAATATTAAAAAATAAAATATACAAACCACAGGCATGGAGAGAGTCAATATGTGAATAGTGGAACCATCTTAAGATGTTATTGGTTCCCTGGGACCCCCAAGCCTGGTGACAACCCGGTCTTGAAGAACTTCCAGAATATTAACAGAGATGGAGCTAACCTGACTTTTGGGGGAGAATTTGTAGGTCTGTATCTCTATCCAATAGTGCTGAATCAATGAACATATGAGCAAGATCCTGCTGTGTTCTTGGGGCAAACTTTTAAATTTTGCACATCTAATATTGCAGCTTAAGACATGAAGCAGTAAGGAAAAGTTCTTGTTATTTTTTTTGTTCATTCTACTCATTTTACACACAAGTGCTTTGAAGGACTCTCCCTTTCACAATTTGAGACATTCATTTCCTAATTTCAGTGGGTTGTAGCTTAGAGCAGTGTTTCTCAACCCTGGATGACTTCAACTCCCAGAATTTCCCAGCCAGCTGTTGGAAGCAAGGTTCTGTCATGCAGCTGGGGAATTCTGGGAGTTGAAGTCCACACATCTTAAAGTGGCCAAGGTTGAGAAACACTGGCCTAGTTCTGTCATGCAGCTGGGGAATTCTGGGAGTTGAAGTCCACACATCTTAAAGTGGCCAAGGTTGAGAAACACTGGCCTAGTTCTGTCATGCAGCTGGGGAATTCTGGGAGTTGAAGTCCACACATCTTAAAGTGGCCAAGGTTGAGAAACACTGGCCTAAAAGAAAACATAGTGCTTGTTGCTTTATTTAAGGCAGATAAAGAGGTGCACTTAGTTTTCTCTATTGATCAGATGATTTCAGTGTTCTTGAAGCCTTTGATGTTTTTTCTTATAAGACTGTTAGCCAAGGGAGACTTCTTGTTTCTGTGATCATAGGACTTAGAACAGTATCATGAAACTATTTTCATGTCTTTTGCTAATTCGTTTCAGTAGTAACCATATACGTGGTTGTTAATGATAATGTCAGTTATTCTCAAGACAAAATTTAAACATTGTATTATTTTAGCTTTGCATGTAGTTCATGGTGCTATTGTATTGTGCAAACAAACTTATCAGTTCTTTGTTCTTCAGTCGTAAATCTGTAACAGTACAAGGAAATGTTTAAATGAGATGTAGAAAAAAATCTGGTTTGAAATATGATTTTTAAAAATATAGAAAAAATTATGATACAAAGTTTTATTATGATTTTAGTACATGAATCTTGCTGAGAAGGTGTGCTTCAGTTACATATTATTACATTGCTGAAGATACTGGAGTTTCAACCTCATGATCTATCTACTTTTCATATATACTGTTTGCTACTGAACATGCTCTGTCAGCTATGGCTGAAGGAATAGTCAGTACTTTCCAGTTATATGATGCCCACAGTATCTTTAACCTCTTCCATAAAAATATTAATCTGTGAGATGGGAGCATAGAAAGGAGTGCTCCAGAGGCTTTAAAAAATTGTTCTAATACAGGATAGGGAAAGGCAGGAAAAGTAAAAAAATAAAATAAAAATTATATATATATATATATATATATATACACACACACACACACACACACACAGGAAACAGCAATACTGTAGTTAGAAAAATAATTAAATAATGATTATCTGAGGAGAAAGAATATACATCTCCAAGGGATCTGAAGCTTACTGAATTTGGATTAAATAGTAATCTTTTGGAAGAAGGAAACATCTAGTAGTGATGCAAGCTAGCCTGAGGTGTTCAAAAGAAGTAACAAACTAGGTGCAAGAGGGTTCACCTGTCTCCTAAGCAATTTTTCTTCTACGTGTTATCATCCTAAATACTTTATAATAATTTAGTTACTCTATGAGATAATTCATGATTATGTCACAAATTATTATATAATCAATATTATATAATCAATATTTTTACAAAATTGTTTAATACTATCTTCTCTTGCAATGTGTAAATTATCAATACAATTACACTATGTTGAGGACATTTATATTTATTTATTGGCATACTGTTGTGTTTATAAAGAACGTTTGCAGATGCCCACTTTCTTTTTCTTATAAACAGAAATGGCCAAATCGCTTGCATCAAAGAGACCACTTTATTTTTAGTCAAAACCAGTTCATTTATGTATCAGATCCTAATTATGTGACATCATAAATTGGCACAGATTGCAAGAGTTTTACTTCTGAACTAAGTTGAAACTGTACATCAAAAGCTTGATCTTTTCCTTGATTTTAATAGCCCTAAATTACATACAAGAGATGTTTTACTGAGTTATGCCTCAGGTATTTTTGAAATATTGAAGGGCCGCATTACTCATGAAAACAGTTTTTTTAATCTAGTCATGGAAATATAGATGTTAATATTCAAGAATTGAAAATACTTGTATTGTTCATATTGAATGTTCTTTGGTTGCTGCTGCTCTATTTTTCCTTCAGTTATGATCTTGTTGTATACTGTATAGACTACATTCCTTGAATCTAATCCATTGGCAGATTCACTGATAAAATTTTAGCTGCAGATTTCTGAATGAGCATTAATGATTCAATTCTGCTTACTGTCAAATCTCCATTGCTTTTTGTAATGGCTGTTTCTCTGTTGATGGGATTAAATCAAAGCAACTCTTAGAGAATGCAATGGCTGAATTTCTAAATTTATGTTTTGAAATTGCTCTTCACTATAGTACAATTTCCAGTCTTTTGAGGAGAATAGTGCAGCATAACTTCCTGTTGTACTCAAATCTTCCTCCAGATTTCCCATCAAATTAGATGTTGTAAAATGGGGTTAGCAACAATATCCTGCCAAATGTTTTGAGCTTCACCTTCCATCAGTCCCCGCTACCATGGTCAGTGATAAGAGACTGTGGGAGATAAAATTGAAAACATCTAGCTGGCATCACCAGTTCTTACTCTGTTGTAAGAGATGCCTATCTGATGCAGACATACTGTATATAGCAACCCCTCTTTTTCTACTTCCCCAATAAAATATATAGGGTTAAGTACATAATTTTATCTCTGGCTTGGCTTTCCTGTTCTGTAAGAAGCAGCTTGCTAAATGGAATAAAAGTGAAGAAACGCATAGTCTTGCAACATCATGTGAAGTGATTTAGTTTGCTACGTATTCTGAAGGAGAGAAGAGCGGAAGAAAAGCAGTGGCATTCAGTAGCACTCAACTCATCTCCGGTGATGTTTAGGTTTTCCCCTCACGTGTTTTCATATTCATGTTTCTATAGATTGATAAAGTGAACAGAATATTGCACAGTTATATTTAAAAACTGAGCAACAGAGATTAAGCATCCTATAGAAATCCTATAGATTTCTCCTCTGAAATATGTTCTATTCATTTCATAATATATTACTTTTTTTGTGTTGAAAAGTACATTCTGGATTGATTCAGACATCACACTCATATTAAATCTTAAATCATGGTTTACAAATCACAGTGGCTTGGTTCACACTTTGTGCTAAAGCAAAACTGAACAAACCACATCATGATTTAGTGTCATATGTGAACCTAGCCATTAGTTTGATGTTGAGAAATCTGTGCCGCAGTATTTGAAACTGTGATCTAAGCTGGGTATTAGAAAAATAGCCTTTACCATTAACAAGTATTTTGCCAACTCTATCAAATTCAGGGATTTTCTGGAATTTGGTGAATCTTGAGATCTAATCACCTCATCATATACTGTATATGCAGAGGAGATCTTTGCTAACAAAATACCTGGAACCAGTAGATGTACATGTTCCACTCAGTCAGAATGGTACTTATTTATTGCATGTAAATATTTATTTAAATAGTATTTCAACAAAACATTAAAAATAACAACATTTGAAGGAACAAATGAAACCTAAACCATAAAAGCAAACCATAGCTAAGTAACATAATTTGGGAGTGTATAATCCTAAAGAGGTGCAAAATTTTTAATATCTCTTGTCCAAAATGCATTTGTGTAGATGGAAGAAATCCATTGGGAACTAATTTAATATAGCTAAAAACTGTAGATAAAAAATTAGTACTGAAAGTCTTCATAAATCTCTGTTTCTGGAAATTAGAAAGAAAAATTCTGAAAAATATAAAAAATCTGGAAAATGAAAGACCAGGAAAATTTATTAGTTAAGCTATTCTTTCTGTTAATGAGCACATGCATTGTGTGGCACATGCACTTAAGTTATTATTGGCTGGTGACTGTAATATGCTGCACTGCATTCCACATAATAAATTCTGAAAATGCAGATGTATAAGACATAGATCTTCTGCTTTATAAGTTTGTAATGAATGTGATTTGTATCACTAGAATAAGGATGAGGAAGCTTTCTTCTATCAAGGGGTGCATCAGTAATTGCATGCTAGTGAAGGGCGGGGTTGAATCTCAAAGAGGTGAAGGCCAAAGCCAAAAACAGAAAAGAACCCCTTTCTTTTCCTCTTTTCCCTGTTTTCTCACTTCTCTTTTCCTTCATGATAATCAGGCTGTTGAGTGAAAGATGAATCATTGTTGAAGAACTGAACTGATTGCTTAAAGAACATGTTCAAGAATAAATGAAAAGATGTTGAGTTATTATTGATTTAGTTTCATGAGATCTATTGCTTTTTTTTTCCAATGCAGGTTGAACAGGTAAAATTACTAGACCGATTCAGCACAAACATCAAGTCACAAACAGGAACTCTTTACCTCACAGCAACTCACTTATTATTTATAGACTCCAGCCAGAAAGAGACATGGGTAAGGAGACTAGGGTTTTATACTGCATTCCTTTATATATATTCTTTACAGTCCTTCCAAGGAATAAATGGACTGATGTACACTACTTTTCAAAAGTGCTGTGTAACATTTGTGTTATAACTGTAAATACTGTCTTAACCATGGGAGATGAGTGTGGTAACTGTTTAACTGCACACCTTTATAAGATTGATTTTTCTGAACTTCACTGCCTTTATATTACAGTGTGTCTTTGAAAATTTTTAAGCTTTAGCTTCAGCCTCCTAATGAAATCAGTAAGGTAGAATTATTTCAAAGATGATATGTACGCCTACTTCGGACCAGATGTCCACCAGATGTATGCCTACTTCAGTACGTGCATTATGATTAGCAATAGTGTAAGTCTGTGAACGTCACGTACGTCACTTCTCTAGGTTCAAGGCAGACCACTTCCTTTTGTTCATAGCACTGTCACTGGAATTTAATTTTGCAAGCTTCTTAAAAAATGCTTTTCAATATCTTTAATATCTAGATTAAATAGTTAAGTTAATAGTTAATAATTATGCTACTGAAATTTGAATGTTTTGTACTTTCCCTGTGGTATCTTAATGTGAATCTTTGAAAAGATAGGTAATTTTGAGACTTTATTAACACATCTCCAGCTATGTGCAGCTAGCCTTGTAAGCAGCTGTCTTCCTTTTCCTTCTCTTATACTAAGAGGAGAATGTTGTATATGATATATTGTATCTATTCTTGTGGGTTAGGAACTATTTAAAAAATCAGCCTTCCTGACCCTGATTTCCAGAATTTTTAACCGGTATGACTAGAGCCAAGTCTTGGTACCCCAATTGTCTATAGGTACCAGGATGGGTAAGAGCAATATTACTAACTCCATGCATCCTAGGGGGCTTTGCATTATATTCCTAAGTTACTTTCCCCCCACCAACAAAGTTGTCATGATGAACTGCTTCTGTATCTGAGAGGAATATTCACAAATGGTTTGTCTCCATTGAATATACCTAAAGCTGCTCTCCAAATGCTTCAGATAACAGAGAAAAAGCAACAGGCAACTTTGATGAAATATTTTTGCTCATTACAGCGAACGTGTATGTCATCTTGTGTGAACCTGATGCTCTCTAGATGTGTTGGTACTACAGCTTCCGGAATGCCCATGAGCATAGCCAATTCTGGGAGTTATAACATCAGTACATCTGGAGAGAGCTAAGATGGGGAAAACTGATGCAGATTTTGGGCACCTTAAGTGGAAACTAAGATAGCTGAAAGAACATTACCTGAACTGCTCAACTTACAGTTTTTGTGGTTTTTTGTATGCTGTAGATATTACACCATCATATTGCTGCAGTTGAGAAACTTGCTTTGACTACTTCTGGCTGCCCCTTAGTGATTCAGTGCAAGAACTTCAGAATAGTTCACTTCATTGTTCCTAGAGAAAGGGACTGCCATGATATTTATAATTCTTTGCTTCAGTTGTCAAAACCAGGTAAGGGACTGCTTTCTCCATTTCAATATGTTTAGTACAGAGGGTTGCTATGCTTATTTAAAAAAAAACTAGACAGCAAAGGTCAGACTCATTTCTTTCTTTTTCTCTTCCTGTTTTAGCAAGATATGATGAATTATATGCCTTCTCATATAATCCAAAGCAAACTGAGGAGGAGAGGGTGCGAGGTTGGCAGGTCATTGACCTCACTGATGAATACAATCGGATGGGTGTGCCTAACTCTGAATGGCAATTATCAGATGCAAATCATGATTATAAGGTAATAGGTTATAATAACTCATGAATTTATGTTGTGTGTGTTAATCTTGTAGTGCTCTCTCCTTTTATAGAGATCTAATTGATTGTTGAATGCTAGGATGGTTGCTTTCATGTCAGATGTTTCATATAAGCCACGGAAGGAACAGTGAGTCTTCCTATTGTTGTTGGACAAATTGATTTATTTTTTCCTCAGGTCAGAATTCTTTTTCAAAGGCTCTCTTGAGTCGTGGTCAATATAACTTATCCTGAACTGGGTTGTTGGATGACTGATGATCTGCAAGACCTATTCAGGTGGTCCACACAAAGGTTGAAGAACAATTTAGAATATCTGCATTTAGCCCTGTGCTTTCTTTTTTCCCTGCTAACAGATCAAGGCTTGACTAGAGCCAGATTGCTAAACAAGATGCTATAGTTCTGATCTAAAGCCTGTAATTGGTAATATTTTTAATCATATTTTCTCCAACAATATATTTGTTAAAAGAGCCCCTCTTAGGGACTGGTTGAACTAATTTTCATAATATGGTGTTAGCTCTGATGATGATTTTGATGATTCTCTGAAGAATCTTTTCAAATTAAAAATGAGTTATGTAAAAAAAAAGTTAATGATCTGCCAAATAATATGTAGTTTTATTTTCAGGCAAAAATAATTGGAGACCTCTTGTCGTAGAGCAGTGGAGTTCATTTTAGTCTCACATGCAGGGGAGGAGGGAGGCTCTTTTAATTTTCTTCCAATCACAAGTTTTGCTAAATTTTTCTCCTCTAACTGGAGCATTCTTGTCAGATTTTTTTGAAATTCGGAGTTATTTTTTAAAAAAATCAAAGTTTAATTTTTTTCTATTATGCCTTATAGGTAGTCCTTGCTTAACAACTGTTTGTTCTGCAACTGTTCAAAGTTATGGTGGCGCTGAATGAATGGTAGTTACGCCTGGTCCCCGAAGTTACGGCTGTTGCAATGCCCCATGGTTAGCAAAACTTGTGATTGGAAGAAAATTAAAAGAGCCTCCCTGGTGATCAAAATTTGGGAGCTTGACAGCCCGCTTGCACTTACGACTTCTGGGATGCTTCAACTCTCCCCACCCACCTATCTCCCCCCACGTCTGCCCTTTTGGCCGCCATGGGCTCCACTCACCGTGCAGGACAGCCAAAAAGGCAGAGATGGGGGGCATATAGGGTGGGGGGAGGAAGAGGAGGCAGTCCCTTACCTTACCGAGGCTCAGGACTGGGAAGGACGAAGCTGGGAATGGCTTGGATTGGGATGGGGCCTTGCCTAACAACCAGTGGGATTTGATTAACAACAGCAACAGGGACTGCCGGGATTGCTGTTGCTAAGTGATGCGGTCACATGACATTGCGCTTAACAACTGCATCACTTAGCGAGAGAAATTCTGGTCCCAATTACCATTGTAACTCGAGGATTACCTGTACTAAAATCTTTTTGTCACAATTATGTTACAAAGTGTTATACACAAAGTTGAACAGCTTTCCTTTTGTGATATATCGTTCTTAAACTTTAGTCTGGAGATTTTTCCCTAGATTATATGGCTCAGTATCAAATCTTTATGGTTTTTCATGTGCCTTGTATAATTTCTCTTGTTCTTGTATATTTTTATTGACATTTTCATTTTAAAAATGGTCCTTGATTATGTTTCTCATGTCAAATTTCATTACAAGTGGTTAGCTGTACTCTGTTAACTTTTTCTTTTCAATATGTTAAGTTTGTATTTAAATTTTTTTTACTGAAATAGATGTAGAAGGGAAATATGGAAATCAGTAAACTAGTAATATGTTGGGATTACTGGTAGAAACATTTGCCACTATATATTTTTATCACATTGTTGTTCTTATTTTCACTTGTTATACCTTTTAAGGATATCAGACTTTCAGACTTTAGTAATACTTTGTTTTTATTTGAAGAACCCAGGAAATTAAGATTTGGGTGGAGAATTTTAACCTAAACACCTCATCTTAGCTCTGGCTTTTAGCACAATCTGTTGAGGAACTGTATTGCCTCATGTAAATCCACGTGGTGGATTGCTATGGTCCTATTCTTGATCATTTCAGTCAGCCATAAAAGGTAGATAAGACTGGACATTATTGCATTTGAAGCTGCATTCTGTTCTCCCATTCACTTCCACTTCAATTCATTTATCTGATTTTGAGAGCTCTTCTAGATATCCCAGCCTAGCTGTTTCTGATGAAAAAATGGAAATTGGATGTACAATATATCTAATGTGATTTTTTTTGCAATTTTTTTTAAAATTTTCACAGATTTGTGAGACATATCCTAGAGACCTTTATGTTCCCAGGAGTGCAAGTAAGCCCGTAATTGTTGGCAGTTCTAAGTTCCGAAGCAAAGGAAGATTCCCTGTGCTCTCGTATTATCATAAAGATAACGAGGTATAGTCTGATTTCTTTTCAATGCAATTATCTAAAGGTTATTTTCCAGTACAGGAAAAGACAAAGTGGGTAAGTATAGTAATCTAGATCCCTAGATCTACTCTAGTGCAATGAAAGTGGATGCTAGTAGTAATAATAATATGACTCGATTTTTATGTCTATAATTTTGTCAAACATAAAGAAATAGAACATACCTTGGTTTTCTGTGTAATTATTAATGTAATAATTATCCACGGTTAGAAAAGTCACAGATTGGTAATCCTTTTTCTGAGGGATATATAGCCTACAACTAGTAACATGCACAACCACCAGAAGCAAGTGAACATGTTTTGGTCAATGACTCTGGTCCAAATCTGTATATACTGTACTTGCAAATATACTTCTGCGGCAAATGCAAGCTGTTATTTGTGTTTTAAATCTGTCATTATAGAAAAGTTGAGGATATTTCTTTCTTTTTTTTCCCCCCGAAAGTTTTGCAAGTCCTGAGTTTGGAATGCTGGAGTCTTGGTTTTCCCTTCTTTTATTATAGTTGCAAGAGAGCTAAAGACTGACTTACTGTTCCTGCCTTCCAACACACCAGGTTTAAGTGCTATCTTCTCTTTATATTTACCCCTCTTCCTTCTCACCAGGCTACCATTTGCAGATGTAGTCAGCCTCTCTCAGGATTCAGCGCCAGATGTCTGGAGGATGAACACATGTTGCAAGCAATAAGTAAAGCCAATCCCACTAACCACTACATGTACGTCATGGACACCAGACCAAAAGTACGTATGTGGCTTGTTTTCTTTGTTCCTGTTCAGCTTTGTCATTCTTGCCATCTTTACTCTTCGTTTTCGTCTTTTGTTGTTGTTTTCTTGTTTTTCATATTCTAAGCAATTTGTAAAGTGCCTGGAGCCAGCCCCTGGGAGTCAGAGAGCATATACTTTTAATGAATTGTTGTTGTTGTTGTTTTCTACCTAGTTACTAATTTTCAGTACTTTATAAATAGGGTCATGCAGTGCTTCCCACTCAGTTGGAAAAAAGTGTTTTGGAAAGTGTGGGATTGCAAATGCAGCACTCTCTGGAATACTTTAATGCAGCCATATCTTTTCCTAGGATTATGTGACAGCTGCACAGTCCCAGAAAAGATGTGACTCTTTTAGGGTTGCAGACAGGTGTTCTGTTTATGTTAAAAAACATCTCTCTGGAATCAAATCCAAAGTGTTGTGTAGCCCTAGCAGTGATTTCTTAGACTGAAAGGGTTAAGACTGAATTGTTGTAACCCAAGCCGTGCTGTATTTCTTTTAGGATCCAGTTTGATCAATATGATCATCATCCATCATCATCTGTTTCTTAGGAGTTCACACATTCTTTGAAAAAGGTGCTTCAAAATGCACATATGAAGCACTTCTTTTCAAATCCTTAAAGCAGCCCTGACTTCTTTTCCAGGCCCAGGCAGCTGTTTTGGGGGGTCTCCCAAACCATTTGCACAACCATTTTGCTTCAGAAAACATGTGGTTTGTAAACCGTGGCTTATGGCTTAATGTCTTTGAAGCTAGCTAATTGTAGTTTATTTAATAACCAGTTAAATATATCATGAGTTAGCGCACTTTGTGAACCATGGAATAGGACAACTTTCTCAGCTGGGTATTGTTCAGTTATGTTGTGACCACAACTGTCATGTTGGCTGAGAATTCTAGAAGTTTATTTTATTTTCCTTATTTATTTTCTTCAGTTTAAATGCCACTCTATTTCCAAAGGATCTGAGTGGCTTACAGTAAACTAACATATCTGAACAGTACAATGTTGGGAAAGAGATACACTGAGTTGCGGGTCAGCATGGCTAGTCATTTGAGTTAGGAGAAAGAAATCATGCAAAATTCCAACAATCCTAAGGTTTAGAAGCCAAGTCATAAAAATATAATTTTCTTCAGTTTCAGATACATATTGTACAGGATATATTATACAAATTATTATACAATTGTATATAATTATACAATTATAATTGTAGATTGCTTTGTTTCCTATATATGACTAATCCTTCTTTTTCTCCAAGCTGAATGCAATGGCCAATAGAGCAGCAGGTAAAGGCTATGAAAATGAAGATAATTATTCCAACATTAGATTCCAATTTGTTGGTATTGAAAATATCCATGTAATGAGGTCTAGTCTGCAGAAGCTTCTGGAAGGTATGAATATATGTGCCCTTCACAACATTAAACATTTCTTGAGTACAACATTCACTCTTGGAGAAAAATGATTTTACATAAATCTAGTTCATACTAGAAAATTTATTGAATAATGTATAACATCCAAAATAGTATATTTCTGATGCTATAGATATTGCTAATGTGAAATTTGACTTTCTGGTATAGTGAGATCCTATCATTTTAATGATTTGCTCTGTGGAATACACTTCCATTAAAGCAACTGCCTTTTTCATATAAACAGGGCAAAGTCATTGGGAGTCAGGCAGCATATAAATTTAATAGATTATTATTATTATGGTTTCAGTTACGTACTGATTATTCTGAAATTATTAAAACTTGCCATCCTAGTAATGGAGATTTTATTAAGTATTTATATGAATATATAAATCGCATAAATATTTAATATGTGTAAATTATATATTTATTTTATTGTGTTTTATTTATACATATAATATATTTAATATAAATCCCTTAAATATCACTTAAACATGGGAAGCTGCTTAACTGGAAACTCATAAAATTATTCCTTCACTTTTAGCAACTGTTAGCGCTATTTACAGTATTTGCCCATTCTCTGAAGGAGGAGACGCATCATATCACAACAAGTGCATGGCTGCATTAGTGATTTCTCATAGTAAATATTTAAATTATAAAAAACAGGTGTGTATTCCTAAAAGATAGAAATACACTGAGGATTCAAGGCTAGTTAAGATGATGGATGTACTTTTTTAAAGTAGAATTGTAAAGAAGATAATTATATTACATTTATAATATGAAAGACCTGTTTACACCAGATTGCTTCCACATGAGCAACAATTAATACAGGAAAGCAGGGTTTGAGGCAGAATGGGACATGAACTCATGAGTATTGTGCATAATAGCTACCAGGCAATGAAAACAAAACTCAGCCTTGCAAATATTTGAAACATAGTTATGGTTCAATAATACCGGTAATATAACATTTCATTTTATAGAGGGTCTCCAGGATATATAGCAGAAACTAGGGATGGGGGAAAAATTGTTCATGTATTTAACAAGTTCAGAAATTCAGATTCCTTCAAACAGTTGCCAAAACCAACTTTTGATTCTTGCACAGAGAGATGCTACTACTGCATTTGAGTTTAACTGGGTTTCCTTTTACTTTAGTTTGTGGAACAAGAGGCCTATCAGTCAATGATTTTCTGTCTGGCTTGGAGAGCTCTGGGTGGCTGCGACACATCAAAGCAGTGTTGGATGCTGCTGTCTTCTTGGCTAAGGTAATTTGCATTCTGTAATTTGTCAAAAGTTGTTGATGTTGGTACTATACATTAGATTAGAAAATATAGGTTGCCTTCAGTAAGCACCTTCAGACCAGGGGAATTTGGAAATTTCAAACAATTATGTTCCTAAAGTCTTCAACTCCTCAGGGATCAATAGCTCAGTAATAGAGCATGTGTGTTGAAGTAGAAAATCCCACATTCTACTTGGGAATGAGCTTGGGACTACTGTAATTCTTTTACTCTTTTCCTCAAGCAATCAGCTGTAAATAATGTTACACAGTTAGGGGAGATCCAAGCATAGATATGTCTTGTTGTCTCAGGATGTTTATGTGTGCAGTAGTGATCCTCAAACACCTTTATTGGAAAAGGAGGGGGCCAATCATTTGTAAGTTCACATCGTGTGTGTGTGTGTGTGTGTGTGTGTGTGTGTATGTTGAGAGTGCATTCCCAGAATTCCTCTCCAATGTGACATAGATTACAGATATTTTGGTTCTATATTTACGTTGGCTAGGACCTCAGGGAGTTCCAGTTCCAACAAATTTGAATAGTTCTTGCTTGGGGAAAAGCTGGAGTGGATTAAATATTTGAATTCAACTGAGTAGTTGAATTCATTTTCTTTGTTATAAACATATCAGTAAGTTTTGTCCTTTTCACAGGCCATAGCTTTTGAGAGTGCAAGTGTGTTAGTACATTGCTCCGATGGCTGGGACCGGACGTCTCAGGTCTGTTCCTTGGGTTCTCTATTGTTGGATCCCTTTTATAGAACAATTAAAGGATTCATGGTAAGTATGCAAAGCAAGCTTGAGCCACTTATAATTGACCAGTGCTAAGGAAGATCAACTTTATTAAACTTACAGTTCATTTTGTGTCTGAGATTTGCTCATCTGCTTAATAATGGGGCTATTGAACTTAATACTGTCCATTGATATCCAAATAAATGTAGTAATTAATTTATAGACTACATTGTTTTTAGTACTGTGTGGATCCCAGTTCAAATAATTCTTGAACCAGTAAGATTCAGATGCTAAATACATTTACATTTTAAAATAATTAATTTCAATAATATTTCAAGCACATATAGAAGATCAGATATCTTCTATTTTCTCAATAAACGGAAAAGAGATTACATTATAAAGGAAGTTATTGATGTGTTTTTGATGCTAATTGTAAACATGTTGGTTGAATCTGTTACATTTTGCAACTCGGACTAGATATTGACATCTTAATGATCTATTTGACCTGGGGATCAGCTCTGTACCCTGTTTTTCCAAGCTAAATCCTGTAATTAATGGACCTAACCAGTTCTTTGAAAACTGCATTTTACCTTTCTTTTGCTTGTGGTATTTGTATAAGAGAGGCACAATGATATATGTAGAATACAGGTAGTCCTCACTTACTGACTTCAATTGGGGCTGGCAACTCTGTTGCCAAGCGGTGCAGTCATTAAGTACAATGTCATGTGACCACGCCAACTTACAGTGTCAGTCCCAGCTGCAGTTGTTAAGCGAATAGCACACGGTAGTTAAGCGCAATGTCCATGACTGTGACTTGTGACTTCCTGCTGGCTTCCCCATTGACTTTGGTTGTCAGAAGCTGGCTGTGAAGGTCACAAAGGGTGATCATGTGACCATGGGATGCTGTGACTGTTGTAAATGCAACTGGTTGCCAAGCACTTGAATCACAAACACGTGACTGCAGGGACACTGTGACTGCCACAGTTTTGAGGACCCATCATAAGTCTCCTTTTTCAGCAAAGTTGCAACTTTAAATAGTCTTTAAACAAGTGGTTGGTAAGCAAGGACTACCTGTAATTCTCATCTCCCAGCCCTGGAAAACATATTTGGCTTTCTCCATTGAGCTAAGAAATCTAGCGTGAAAACGGTGACTTAGGAAATACTTTTGTCGGGCCTAGCCCAAGGAACTCCAGGAGACCATGCAGAATCAATCCAGCAAGGTTTAT